AGGACCCACCATTTCTGGACATCTGCCTAAAAGTACTCAAGAATGAATGGGTGAGCACAGATGAACTGTTGCAACCAACTTGTATGAAGAAATATTCTGTGTCGCACATGGTTTAAACGTGGCTGGTTCCAAATGTCAGCATGGCATCCTCTTTCCCCACTGCCCGGCACTGCCACCCCAGTTCCTGTTGAGGGATCCAGGACCAGTGGAGGTGAACTAGGAGATGGGGTACGATCTACTTCCTCTCTTCCCTGGATTGAGTCCCAGGTCCTAGCCTGCAGCTGCATTTTTGGCTGGAATGCTTTTTGGAGGTTCCTGGGTACCTGTTCCTGGGTTCCTGGGTACGTGAGTGTGCTTGTGCATGGCTGCACCGTGTGTGTGTTGTTGGGTCCCAGCCACACAGCTCTCTCGGGCAGGATCTGGCCCACATCTGCAAGCCCACCTCAGAGTCCATGTGGCACCCTCTTGCTCTGGGAACCCTCTTGAGTGGGTGGCTGAGAGGACACTCCAAGCTTGGTCACTATCCTCAGGGGAGGCTCTCCCAGGAGGAAGAGCTCTAAGTCTCTCCTTAGAGGAAGTTCAGGCTGCTCCCCTGCCACCCCATTTCTCCACCGTGCCGTCTGTTTTCAGTTCCTTGTTCTCCTGGTCAAGAGGCATAGAGAGGCACTGCCTACCTCAGCTGGCTGAGGAGAAGCCAGACCCCTTCCTGTAGGCACCTTGATCTCTAGGAGTTGTGTTCCTGGGGTACTCTATTTGGCTCAGGCAGCATTGGGGTACAAGGAGAGAGAATCCATACCAGGCTCCCCTGAGCTGACGACTCTCCCACTGTCCCCCATTAGCTGGGTCTACACAGCCCAGGGCAGATGGGACGGCAAGGGTACAAACAGACTTTGCAGCTTTTTGTCAGTCCTGAGAACATACAGGACCCCAAAACTTTAACATTCATGTTCCCCAATATGGCACCAGGCAGACAATTCTGGGCAGCAGGGAAATCTCCGCTGACACTACAGAGTGGAGCATGGAGAGGGGTTGGGTAACAAAGTCAACCCCTTTCTTGGTTTTATTTGGTTCTTGGGGGGCGTGTAGGCCTCCTCAGGTTTGGTCCTACATGTCCAGTCTCACTTCACCAACATGCCAACCCTCCCGGGGCCACATCCGATCTATCCTGCAGTCCCAGACACCATCCTGGGCCTGTGCCAGAGCAGACTCTGGGCCACGCTGCTCAGAGAGGAGGCAGCTTGCCACATCAAAGGGGGCTCCAAGGGGAGCCCAGTGCTTTCCCACTCGGGCTCACGGGGCCTTAGGGACAGTCAGCGTTCCGGCCAAGGGAAGCAGATGTCTCCCTGGCTGGAGACCTCAGGCCTGGAGGTCTGGGGTTTGGACGAAGGCCTGGGCCACTGTTACCACTTCTCTTGTGTGGCTCAAACCACTGTGCGCCTGGGCGTGGGTGGCCAGGGGCATGCGCGCTGGTGTCGGGAGATCAGGCTGTGGCTCCTGCGCGCATCTAGAGCTCATCTCGAGTTGGTACCTGCATGGACCAGGCACACTCACCATGACAGCCACACCTGCGCAGGCCCTGGGCTGCCTCCTGCCCACCCTCCTGCTGGGACTCACAGGTGAGTCCGAAGTGCAGCCCACAGAGGCCCCAGGGCAGGCAGGAGGCCTCGGGGGTCACCAAATCCAGCCACCTCAGGTCGCAGGGTGCCAGGGGACCCGGGCCCCAGCGCAGCAGTGTGCCTGCCTGCAGGGTGCTGGTTAGTGTCTTTGCCTAACCATGGACCCTGTGGGAAATGCTGGGGGCTTGGAGTTGAGAGGTGGGAGATGTGACAGGAGGGCAAGGGGTGGGGGGAAGCCAGAGGCAAAAGAGGAACCCACCTCCCCCTCCACCCAGACTCCCTGGTGTCAGCCCTGGTCTGGGCAGCTACCAGGCCCAGGAGGGGGTGAGGGTGGGAAAGACGGCGGGAGAGAGGAACCTCCTTCCTGATGGGCCTCCGGCACTGTGGGACTCAGAGGCAATCGACTTGGCACTCTGCCTCAGCCGTGTCAGACTGTGCAGCCTGAACAAGTCCCTGAACCTCTCAGGGGCTGTTCCTTCTTCTGAAAAGTGGGGACAGAACCGGCTCCCACAGTGGGTGATGCGGATGAACATGAGCACACGCGCTTAGCAGCGTTTCACCAAACACGGGGCGCTGTGCACGGCGGGGCATGATTATCATTAGAGTTTACCCAGAGGAGGGCACCATGCTGAAGGCGCCAGAGGACCTGCCGCCACTGGCCACTGCCCCGAGGCCTCCCTCACCTCTCACCTTGTGCTGTCCTTGTTGGTTGGTCCACCCCCCCCATACACACATGTGACCAGATGCTGCCCAAGGTCGGGGGCCTCAGCTCCCCACTCAGGTACAGACTCAGAGTGGGGGTGTCCCTGCTCTCAGATCCCTGCCTGTTGTCCCGGGGCGGAGGGGGGGATCTAGTCCTCTGTTGCCCGGGGATGACTCTAGGAGACGGATCCTAGTCAGAGCAGAAGCACTTTGTCACTGTCCCATCGTGGGGATGGAGAGGGCCGCCTCAGGGGAGACTCCCACCCCTGGAGGGGAGCAAGCCCGGCATGGATGCCCAAGTTGCCAGCAAAGGGGCGGGAAGCGCCTGGCTGGGAGGCCAGCGAGAGTTCTGCCCGCAGGGCCTCCTACATCCCACGGGCTCCCTCGCACACCTCTCCTGTCTCAACTTGGTTCTTTTCCAGTTTTTTCCATCTCAAAAACTAGAACCGCCAACCACCCAGAGGCTCAAGAGAGAAGCCTGAGAATCATTTATCCACAGTTCTTTCTGCCCCGCCCCAGCCAGCCCATCACCAAGTGCTGTTGCCGTATCTCCCGGGCATCTGGCTCCTCCGGGCCCAGGTCTCACACCGGAGGTCTGCAGCCCGACCCGCCCCCTCCTTCCCAATCTCCACATAGCAACTCAGTTCTCTGCAAAAACGTGTCAGTGGAGCCACCTTGCCCCCGTTTAAATCTCTGATGGCGCCACATCCCACTTAGGATAGAATCCAGACGGCCCCCACCTCCCACAAGCTGCTCTCTGGACCTCGTTGCCCACGATGCTGAAGTCCTAAGGTCCTCTCGGTATCTTCTACAAGTTCTTCCCATCTGAGCTGCTTCTCACCTGCTGCTCCCACTTTCTAGAATATTCTTCTCCTGGCCTTTCCATGGCAGGTACTCCTATCCCCGCCCCAGATTCAAGTCTACAATGTCACCTCTTCCAGGAATCCCCCACCTCCCTCTAGAACAACTTCCCTTGGCATTTTCTGCCAGCATGCGCTGGGAGTCCCTGAAGTCAAGGGACTCCAGCTGTAATTAAACCTTTGCTGGATTACTTGCTGCCCCCGGTTTATCCGCTCCTAAGGCTGGGGCTGGACACCTGCCTACAGTGGTGCTGCGGGTCAGGCGGCTCTGCCCTGGGTCACAGCCTCTCTCCTGCAGCGGGGCAGCCCTCCATCTCTGTGACCGGCCCAGCTCAGAGGAGAACCCCTGGAGATCTGGTGTGTTTCAACTGCACCGCTGGCCCCTTCAGCTCTGGGGACTTCAACGTCACCTGGATGAAGGACAGAGACGAGCACCCAGCCTCAGCTCAGCACGTGGTGACTGACGACAAAGGCGGGCACTCCGTCACCAGTAAGGTGTGGGTGACGCTGGCCCGGCAGGATGTGTTATCGGAGATCACCTGCGAAGTCAGCCACAGGGTCCTGGCAGAGCCCCTGCGAAAGACCCTCAACCTCTCCCAGGTGCTCCGAGGTGAATGGGGAGCTGGGGGGAGGTGGGGGAGGGGGGAGTGGAAGAGGGAGGGGGAGGGAGGACCACTTTCCCCAGCAGCACTGGCTGGAGGAGTCTCTCTCCAAAGTCCCATTCACAAATGGGACAGCAGAATCCCTCATTGCCTCGCTGATCCCTTCACCTCTTTGTGTCTCTGTTTTCCCTTAGAATGAGAATAAAATTAAGACTCACCGCACAGGCACAGGTTTCACAAGAGGGTTAAATGTTACTCCCTAGAAAGGGCCTGGCACAGCAGGGTGTTTATCCCTGTCTGGCCTTCTTGTTACTGATCCAACTTTCCATTCAAAACATCTGCGCCTGATGCTATCCTTGTTTTTATCTCTTCATTTTACGTTTTTATAATTCATTCAATAAACAATGACTATCTACTGATTGCCAGGCACTGTTTTGGGCATGGGGTGGGGGGGAGGGTACAGCTTAATAGATAAAATTAAGCCTGTCCTCATGGGCATCACACTTTAGGAATTCTTAAAATTATATTTCACGAAATTAGTATTTCAACCACGGAGAATAGTATAGCCAAGAAGCATGCATATCTATTTATTTATTTATTTTTGTTGTCGAATATTTATTTATTTATTTATTTATTTAGACATCACCAGGTTTTATTTTTTTAAATAAATTTTATTTTTATATTCCCCATACAATTGCAACCCCCTTATTTTGACTCCAATCCCTCCCCTCCCCGCCCCCCACCCCCCATAGAGTGTCTCTGGTTCATAGTTTTTTGTTGATTTTGATTTTCACTTTCTTATAGTTATTCTTTTTCCTGGTCCCTTATTTAAGTTTTCTAGATTCCTGCTATGAGTGAGACCATCCGGTATTTTTCTTTTTCTTTCTGGCTTATTTCGCTGAGCAGGATCCCTTCCAGCGCCATCCATGTTGCTGCAAATTGCAGAAGCATGCATATTTAGTGAATATCAACGTTTTGCCTTGCCTCTATTTGCCTTGCATCAAACATAAAAATAATATTATTTCTTTGACAAAAAGGTCATTGATGAGAGCTTGAGGGGTCTCCTGGCGGGTTCCCACCGGGAAGGAGTTCCGGGTGGGGGCAGGCAGGGTCATCTCAGTTCTGCTCTCTGTTCCCACCTAGTTGCCCCCACCCTCCAGATCACCACCCGCACTGACAGGCTTCAGAGAGTAGCCCTCACATGCCACGTGTGCCGCTTCTACCCCTCCCGCCTGCAACTCATCTGGATGGAGAACAGGCACAAGGTCCAGACCGTGGAGTCCCCCCAGGCCACGAGAAACCCGGATGGGACCTACTCGCTGGAGCACACCTTGCAGACCAAGGCCCTGCGGGAAGGAAGCGAGTTTGCCTGCTGGGCCGTGCAGGATGAGCAGCCCCCTATCCAGGCCAACATCACCCTACAGCTTCATCACTTGGGGAGAAAAGGTGGGTGCTGCCTCTCCTGCACCCCTCTGGGCCGCAGGACTGGAAGGGGTGTCGTGCCAGGAAGGCCACTGAGCAGGTTTTCTGATCCGGCAGATGGGGTAAAGGACAGTCTTGGAGCCCTCCGTGGCTTTCTCAGGCTTTTATTGAGCTGTTACATATAGAGCAGCAACCAGGTATACCGCAGGCACTGGTGTCAGGGGGCCAGGAGGCCAGGAGACCTCAAAGCCCTGGGCAAGTCTTCACTCTGGGCTTCTCTGGCTTCATTTCTCCTGCCTCTGCTTCTGCTTCTCTGGGTGACTCTCCCAATACTCTCCCATGGCCCAAGGAAGTAAACAAGACCGTTTACAACAATGTAGCAACTGCAGGTGCCCCATCAGGCAGAGCAATCCTAATGGTGGGAGGGCAACAAAGCCTGAAAACCATTGACCCTACAGAGGGCCAGGTGTGAGGCATTGGCCCGGGGCCTGGGGTGCAGAGAGTGGGAGGTTGGGGCTCACGCAGCACTAGGTGAAGGTGAAGGTAGGCAGGATGCTCTGGGCTGGTGCCCGAAACACGCATTCACCCCAAAACCACATTCCTCCTTCCGCCCCTCCCCACACCCTCACCAAGGGCTGGGTCTTCCCTTCCTGAGGCCGTGGGCTCTCCTGGTGGGAAGTTGGCGGCCTTAACCCTGGTGGGAAGTTGGGCCATGGGAGAGTGTTGGCAGGAAACTACAAAGATCAAGGGAGACCAGGCACCAAAGACCTTCCTGGGGAAGATAATTAAGACTGGCTGCGCTGGAAGTTTCTGGAAGTCAATTTTAAAGAGATACTAAAGTCCTTGACTCCTTTCGCTAGAAAAGGGTAGGGACAAGTAAACGTCTCAGTCTCTCTGACTCAGGTAATTCCTTTCTCTCTTTCTCCCCCGCCCCCCTCCTTCCCTTTTCACTGCCTCCTTCTCTGCTCTTTCCCTCTCCTCCATGCCTCTGTCTCGTCTTAATCCTGTCTCCTCCTCCAAGTCCCTCTTGGTGGCCACTGATGGCTTTTTCCACTAGGGGGAGCTGCCGGCTCACAGTTCAGACCCAGAGGCGCCCCTGCTTTTCTAGGTTCAGCTCCATCAGCTGAACCATCAGATGAATGACCGCAGAGAGGCAGGTCTTGTGGGCAGGATGGATGGGCCAGGCCGAGGCAAGGCACAGTATGGGCTTACAGCTCCTACAGCAAGTGTGAGCACAGCCTGTGTGGCCGTGCCCTCGCTGCCTGCAGAGGGTGCTGGCTGCCGGGACCTCAAACCTGCATTCACTCTCTCCCTGATAGAACCCGCCTTTACCTTCCTGCTGTAAGTATTCTAAGGAGGAAACAGCCTATTTACATTTCAGTTTTTGGTTTGTAAGATATTAAAAAATTAGGCATAGCAAGACAGCAGCCATTTTAAGAAAAACAGACATTTTAAAGGGCACAGCTATGCCCTCGTTTCATTTCAAGGCAAAAACCACCAGGCTGGGGTAAAAACCATAAGACAAGGGTAAACGAAACTTAACTAGTGCCAAGGAGAGATACCCAATTAGGCCGAACTTGGTCCCTGGTGTGAAAAGTCCCCGCATCCTGTCAGCAAAGTACAAAAACAGTTGGTTGCTCTGGGAGAGGGTCCCTCTCTCAACCTGAGACTGCTGTGTCAGTACTCCAGGCAGAGTTGGGCCCTAGCTTACGCTAGCAATAAAGCCTTTTTGCTTTTGCATCTCTGGCTCCATGTAGTCTTTGGGAACCCTGGACGGAGTTGAGGCACCAACTCCTAACAGGTTGTGCCCTTTTTTGTTGCTGTCCAGTAGAAATAGGAGAAATGTTCACCCTGCAGGATATGCAGATCTGGGTGGAAAATTGCAAACTGGTCCTTCTGGTCAGAAGCAAGTTACATTATTTCTTTATTCATTCACTCAGAGTTTTCCCTTGCTCTCTTACTGTCTTGTTACCTGCAGAAGATCTCTCTGGCCCACAGCTGCAAGAGAATTAGCTCTAATTCTACCCCTCCCAGTGCAGCTTGTTCCCAGCACTCTGTGGTCTGCAGAAGGAAGCACACTCAGCCCTTCCTTCTCCAGCACTTGACCCCCTTTGCAGCAACGCCTCGCCAATCTGGTGCGTAAAAATCTTCAGCAGGCTACCCCTATGCACTCTCGCCCCCATGCCTCTGTCATGTTTGAGCCAGTGACATACCTGATTGTAGGGTAAAGAAAATATCAGGCTTTTCTGCCCTTCCGCCATCAGGATAGATGATGGATCCTTGTCCTGAATGCATGCCTGATGGCGGGCACCTGGAGTAGGGTGTGGGCATAGGTAGATGGGATTCAGCTGAGCTAAGACTGTGCTTTTAAGGGCGGCGTCACGGGGGGGACGCTAGCAGCCCCAGCCAGCAGCAGCAGAACCAAAAGAGAAGCCGAGAAGCAGCAGAACGAACGCTAGAGAGCCCAGATAGAGTGAGGACTTGCTGGGGGCTGGGAGGCCTGCCAGCCTCCCAGCCCCCCAGCCAGCACCCCTGCCTGCCATATGCCTGGTGAACCCCAAATAAAAAACCTGCAAAACTACTGAGGACTCTGACTCCTCCTTTACCCGGTCTGCATGGGATCAGAAAACCTGCCTTGTGCCCTGTCCTGCCCCTACAATTGGCGTATGTCGGCAAGATCCATGCAGACGGGTATTGGAGCCCTCCGAAGACCTGGAGGGACTAAGGAGAACAGACTTTGCCTGTGACGACGCTGGAGGCACCATGGCGGTATAGAAGATGGATACGTCCACGAGCTACAGGATGAGACCTGGCGTGAAGGAGACGCCCGAAAGGACCAGCCAACGACACCGGATAGGACCAGCCAACGACACCGGATAGGACCAGCCAACGACACCGGAAAGGACCAGCCAATGACCCCTGAGGCAGCAGGCCATTGCTGAAGCAGGGAGAGGCCAATGGACTGATGGACTGATGAACTGATGATTTTGGACTGACAATCCCGCCAGAAGGCGGAGGACCTTAGCAGGTTATGTTTATTTTTTGAGAATCTGGGGGTGGCCAGTGGGCCTAGATGGCCAAAAGCAGCCTGTGTATGCCCAGTGGCCAGGTGGAGGAGAAAAGCCAACTAAGGTGGCAAAAGCTGGTACTGATGCTAAGTTGAGAAGCCCTAAAGCGGCTGTTAAGCAGCCTGGGTATGCTGAAGCCCTGTGAGTCTCGTAAAATCACCTATGGGTGATGCCCTGCTCATTCTTGAGTGAGGGTGAGGAGCTGAGAAGCCCGTCCTTGGGGGACGGGTGGGGAATGTGGCTTGGGGTGGAGCCCAAGCCAAATGCAAAGTTTGGATCCCCAACCCATGTGCTTGTGCAGTGGGTTGGCTTGAGAGCAGGGGTCTGTGAGTCGCATGGGTGGCCATGAAGGCCGAGTGTTGGAGCGACTGCAGACAGAAACCCTGAGGGTTGGCGATTACCCCCAACAGAATAAAATTGCCAATCCCAGAGCTAGTGCATCCTGGGGGTGGATGCTGTGTGTGCCTTGTAGCCGAGACTACAGCCAGAGAAGGCCAGGAAGCCTGACGGCTCCTGGTGTGTTATAGCAGATGCCGTGTGTGATTTCCCCTCCCTCGTATGAGCAGTGCCTTCGGCAGCAGATTTGGTGGCTCATCTGCTGGTACCAATAATTGTCTTTTGCACTTGGTTGGTGCCCTGCCTGGACTTATTTGTGTTCTGTTGTATTTTGTTATGTTGTATTTTGTTATTTGATGTATTTGCTTTTGTGGGCCATGGCTGCATTGTTTGTTTGCTTAGAAAATTGTGTATATATGTATAGACTGTATGGCAGAAAACCCTGAGGGGGTGGACTGTAGGGTAAAGAAAATATCAGGCTTTTCTGCCCTTCCGCCATCAGGATAGATGATGGATCCTTGTCCTGAATGCATGCCTGATGGCGGGCACCTGGAGTAGGGTGTGGGCATAGGTAGATGGGATTCAGCTGAGCTAAGACTGTGCTTTTAAGGGCGGCGTCACGGGGGGGACGCTAGCAGCCCCAGCCAGCAGCAGCAGAACCAAAAGAGAAGCCGAGAAGCAGCAGAACGAACGCTAGAGAGCCCAGATAGAGTGAGGACTTGCTGGGGGCTGGGAGGCCTGCCAGCCTCCCAGCCCCCCAGCCAGCACCCCTGCCTGCCATATGCCTGGTGAACCCCAAATAAAAAACCTGCAAAACTACTGAGGACTCTGACTCCTCCTTTACCCGATCTGCATGGGATCAGAAAACCTGCACCTGTGCCCATGTCCTGCCTTTACACTGATCCAACACTGACAGCCAGGAAAGGCAGCAGAGAGACTGGGGCCTCAGAGGCTTAGAGGCTCAAATAGCAGGGCTGGGATCAGAAGGCAGGGCTGTGTGTTCACCAGTTCAATTTGTTTTCTGTATTTTCCCTTCCATCCTGTCTGAAACTACAAACCTTGGTGTTCTCAAGTCTCTGCCCTAAATCTCAATTCTATTTCTCATATCTGTTTCCTCCTGAATGGTCCTATCTGCCCACACCATTCAGTTATCACTGAATTTAAGAATTCAGTTAAGAATGAAGGTTGCAAGCCCCCACCCAGGCATCTCATCCGTCTACATCTCTCCTTCATGATGAGACAGACCCTCTTGTCCTTGAAGCAGCTCTGGCTCTTATGTTCGGTGGTGACCAACTTTGGACTCTAGCAGACAATGTCACACCACAGAGCTGCCGCTGGCCATCTGTGACCTCAGGCAAAGCACTGCCCATCCAGGACTCAGTTTCCCCATCTGTGTACTGGCATCTTGACAATGGGGTGCATAGTGTGTGCTCTGTGCTGACTGTTTGCTATCTCCATGGTACCCAAACCTGAACTTGGCTGAAAGTAGGAAAATATTAAAGTTCACTTTATATGATAAAATGATATTGTTACCAAGCAACAGGCTCACCACCTTATGTGCATAGGAGCTGATACTCCGACACCCGGGTTTGAAAAAGAAAGTGGCTTTATTGCACATCGATTGACAAGGAGACCAAAGATTAGACTCAAATCTGTCTCCCTTATTAAGAAAAGGAATGAGGTTATATAGGTTTGGGGAGGGGGGTGAAAAATAAGGAGTTTAATTTTATTGGCTAGGGAGTGGGCTAAGGGCAGAGAAAACAGACTTGGTGGAAGTTCCTTGGCTAGTTACAGGGCAGGAAGACGTATGAGACTCTTCTTCGGATAACTGGAGTCTCAAATTTCTATTGGTGGGCCCCTCTGGGAATCCCCCATCCTCTGAGTTTGTAATTTCTTGGCCTTGGCCAGCCTCAGAGCTCAGTTCGAGGTTAAGTGCTTCTACTCCTTGAGACTGGGTCATCTTTGAATAAACTATCATCTGCAACTAAACCTCAAAGGGAAAGATAACTTTTTATTTGTGTGCTCCAGAGTCTGAAAGCAGCTTAACCATTTAACCTCAGTTTCAGGATAAAGATAATGTTAATATTAATACAATAACATTAAAGTATAGCATCAGGGGAGATAGAGGCACCTGTGAGAAAGCGAACTGGACTTGGCGTCAGCGCACCTGGCTTGGAATGTGGGTTCTGTCTGTGGTGAGACTCTTGAATGAGTCACCAATCCTTTCTGAGCCTTTTCTATGTTCACATTAGAAATGCGGGTAATGACTGTTCAGATGGTTAATGTGAGGCCATGATGAAGGGCCATTCATAGAGTGAGTAATATATGCCTCGTATTCTATACCTGCTACTTTACAGAGTTACTAGGAATTAAGCGTCCCTGCCTTTTTGCAGCCGAGGAGGCAAAGGCATACATAGTCGAGTTACCCAGGCCCACCTGGTTGGAGGAACTGGGAGCGCAAGGTTAGAGTGAGTGTGGCCTGAAAGCCTGTGCTCCTCAGCTCTTCTGTATCCACCTGCTTTTATGGCCTGCCCTGTGGGCAGTGAGACTCCCTTCCCCCTCCAGGGACTGAGGGCAGAGCTGAGCAGAGGGCACAGGCACAGGCCCCAGTGCCAGACCAAAGCCCTGACTCTGCCAACTAGTTGTGAGCCTTAGACAAATTACCTAGCCACTCTGTGCCTTGGTTTTGTCATCCATGAAATGGGGTTGGTGAGACCCCTGTGCATGAGCAGAGCCCCAATGCGAGCTCCATGATTTGGGTGTCTGCAGGAGGTGTGGAGGGGTGTCTGCCTACTTGCAAAGTGCAGTAGTCCCATTCTGGGATTTGGGCGCCTCTGGGCCTTTTCACGAGAGGGGTTTCTCCTTGCAGCCACACAAAGCCACTCTTTCTCCGTGCAAGGCCCCCTGCAGCGCTCTGAACCTGGCACGAGCATCCAACTGACCATGACAGCCTCTGGCTTCTCCTCGAGTCACGTCACTGTGACCTGGCTTAAAAACAACTACAGCCTCCCGAGCTCCCAGACCAGCAGCCGCCAGAGTGGACACACCTACAATGTGACCAGCTCCGTGCTCGTCCCGCTGCGGGCCGACGACCTGTCCTCGCTGGTCCTCTGCCGTGTCAAGCACAATTCTACAACAATTTTCCGCAAAAGCATCGAGCTGAAGTACTACCTCCGCGGTAAGGGCTTTCTGCTGCACGGGGCTGGGTCTGGGTATCTCTGAAGCTGGGTTTCCCACTGGGTGGATGCCCGGGAAGGGCCTCAGTCTGCGCAGGGCAGCGGTGGTTGTGGTTAGACACAGCCTCACTCTGCACATCACCGCTCAGGTTCGGTGTCCTCATCTGTAAAATGGAAACAAAATATCTTCTGGGAATTTAATTTTATTATTATTATTTTCTTTAAAGATTTATTTATTTATACAAGCACTGGGGTATAGGCCAGAGGCGCGGGAGGGTGAGAGGATTCACCAGAGACAGAACAGGGAGCAGAACAGGCAGAATGACTGAAACACACTGCTGAGGGGAGCAGCGGGCGGGACAGGAGAGGTCTGCTGCACCTTGTGGGTATCTCCCTGGCTGGCTGGGAATCGAACCCACACTGCAGAGACTATGGACAACTTCACAGTGCTGCGCTCAACCCGCTGCGCCACCTGGGAGGCCCTTTAATTTTATTATTATTGTAAATATATATGAGGAGGAAGGAAGGTCCGTGTGCATCTCTAAATCTCGGGAACTTTTGTGTTAAGGACTTGTTTTTTGAGCATTACTCAGCCCTGGGGAAAGCCCTAATTTTTCTTTCTTTCTTTTTTTTTTTTTTTAAAGATTTATTTATTTATGGCTACAAGAGCTGGGGTGCAGGTCAGAGGTGGGGAAGGTGAAAGGATTCACCAGGGACAGAGTGGGGAGCACAACAGGCAGATCAACTGAAATACACTGCTGAGGGGAGCAGCCGGTGAGGCAGGAGAGGTCTGCTGTGCCATGTGGGTTGCTCCCTGGCCAGCTGGCGGATCGAACTTGTGCTACAGTGACTGTGGGCAGCATCACAGGTTGCATCTTAACTCTTTGCACCACCAGGGAGGCCCAAAGCCCTAATTTTTCATCATTTTCTACGTGGACCCTCACTTCAAGGTCAGTGAGTTCAGGGAAGTGCCAACATATGGACTCTAGAAAGAATCTGAGTGATCATCCCATTTTTATAGCAATTCTAGAGCCCAGGAGGGCAAGGAAGTGGCCCAAGAACGCACAGCCCTAAACTTAGTTCCTTAAATGGGTTTTAAAGTTTACAAAATATTTTCCTTAGTTTTTTTTTTTTTCCGTCCTATCCACAGAAGTAAAGACATCATTTTACATGAATAAAAATATTCAAGTTAATGACTCGAGTGAGCACAGCACACAGTGAGCAAAGCCCGTCTGAGGGGTTGACTATTAACATGTCCAGTGTTCCACACTGCGTGTCCTGTTCATGTCTAGAAGGAAACTTGATTCAAAGACATGAAGACTGCTGGGGGTGGGGTGCTAGGGGTGGAGGTGTGGAGGGGGGATGTCAAGTGAGTGGTCGAGAGCCTTTGAGGTGAATTCAGGCCCTGATTTACCATCTCCCAGCTGTAGGTTCTCCTGCTAGTTACTTAAGTTCACTCAGATTCAGTATCTTTGATGGTGAAGTAGGAAAATGGTAATTGAGGGGGCCTCTCTCCTTTTCGCAATAGTTACTATATAATCCCCTTGGAGTTAGGGCCATTGTGCACAGAAGCAAAAAAATCATGGAAAAAAATACTCAGGTCTTCCATCATGGAATGCCTTAGTGGGTGACTTTACTTGGGTTCTCCTGAAATCAGAGACTGAAGCCAGGACTTGGGTGCAGGTGGTTGGGAGACGACCCAGTGAGGCTGGGTTAAGGGACAGGAAGCGTGAGCCTGGGAACGTGGATCACCCAAGAAACGGTGAACTGATGACGGAGGCTCCTCCCCACCCCCACTGGGGACCTGTAGGGTAAATGAAAATACTCAGGGCTTTTGCGCCATTGGGCTCTGTGGCCATCACCTGCGGCCTTGAGCACAGGAGGCACTTGGGAGCATGGACTTGGGGTACGCATGCCTGATGGTGGGCACCTGGAGTATGGTGTGGGCATGCGTAAGTAGGCACACCTGAGCCTGGAGGCTGAGCTTATAAGGGCAGCATCACAGAGGACGGGATGGCGGGGGACTGTGCAATAGAGACGGCTTTGAGAGGAAGTCATGTCAAAGGGTTCGTGGAGGGCCATGTTGCTGTCTCCCTGCTGGCTTGTTTCCCTTGACCTGTGGGGATGACATCAAGGGCTCCAAGTTTCTCTTTTAATCTGCTTGAACGAATGATGAACCTACCCGGCCTGGGATGGTGGCAGAACAGGACCCCCTGAAGAACTGTGTAGATTGTCCCTCAGGATTGCCCCACAAAGGAGGAAAGAGCCTGGGGTGTGCATGAGGGGACAGGGTGGCATTCACGGTTATGGAGAAATCCCAAAGCAGGGAATCGGATGGAGTTCTGGGAATGGGATGTGGATATGGCCCCAGGGATCTGCCTGGGATCAGCCTGCGGCAGGAGGGTTGGGTCAGGGGTGGGAAGAAAACTGCCTTTTCTGGCTACCCGTCCTCTGTTTCAGGAGGTACCTCTCACCTTGATTGAAATGTGACCATCTATACCAGACCTCACAGTGCAAAATAATCTGCATCCATTACAAAGTGAATTCAGAAATCTTGCAAAAGCTGTGTTTCAAGACGTGGATGCAAATGATGTTGGGGGAGCCGCTAGTCTTGCCAGCAGAGGCTCTGAGTGGTTAAGGATGGAAGCTGAAGGAAAAGATCTGATGCTAATGATAGTGTGGGCATTTCAGAAGAGAGCATTTTGATTGAAAGAGGTGCCTATGAAAATTGATATAACACTCAAAACAATGTTAATGATTGTGCTGTGAATGTGAAATTTAACACCAAGGTTTTGTTGGTACTGGAGTACACATTCTTGGGGAGAAATTATGCCAACTTCCTTACGCACTCAAACACTTGTTCCTTCTAAAAGTTGGTGTGTCATTGCAATGATATGCTATATTTAATGCAAAATATAAGTTAGATAAGATCATTTTTATACTTGAAATGTTTCTCAGGATGAAGTTTCAAGCAATTCCTTTCTGACAATTTCTATGAAATTGGGATCTGATTTTGTACGGGTGCCTTCTAAGTGGCTTTTTTGATTGTTTTCTGATTCTAAGTAGCTTTCAGTGTTGACCTCATTTGCTTATGTGAGCATTAAATGGGATAACACACACACACACACGTGAGCGGCCTCAAACCCTTCATTCTGTGCATGGAAGCAGGTGCCACCAGCTCCCCTTGGGCCTCGGTCCCCTGGACACTGCCCTGGACATTGGATAGCCAGGAGACCTGGCCAGGAGCTGGAATGGGTCATCCGAGCACTCCATCTTTTTATTGGTCCTTGTCACTCTCGACACCCCACAACTCTTGGTGGTACCTTGCCCTACCCTGTTCTCCATAGCTACCACCAGGACTTCACTATCCTGGGCCCTCCCTGCTCGGGGTCCCGCTCTTTTCTTGGTAAGCATCCCTGCCTGTCTAGGAGAAAGCTGGGTATATAGATAGTTACCTTCTGGGGGACAATGCCTTGCCTTGGCGTCATTAAATGATTTATAGAAACAGTGAGTCAACTAAATTAGAAATTAAATGGAATTTAAGCTTCATCTTTTCATGTTTAATGGCCAAAGTGGAAAGGAACAATGAGGATGGCTTTTGTCCCATTGAAAATCCCATTCATTTCCATTTCTGCATCCATCTGCCCACCGAGCTTTCACAGTTCTGTTAGTGATGCATTTACCCAATATTTTATTTTATTTTTTTAATTTTAATTTTATTTTTATATTCCCCATACAATTGCAACCCCCTTATTTTGACCCCAACCCCTCCTTTCCCACGCCCCATCCCCCATAGAGTGTCTCTGGTTCATAGTTGTTTGTTGATTTTGATTTTCACTTTCTTATAGTTATTCATTTTCCTGGTCCCTTATTTAAGTTTTCTAGATTCCTGCTATGAGTGAGACCATCCGGTATTTTTCTTTTTCTTTCTGGCTTATTTCCCTGAGCATGATCCCTTCCAGCACCATCCATGTTGCTGCAAATTGCATGTGTTTATCTTTTTTGATTGCTGAGCAATATTCCATGGTGTATATGTACCACATCTTCTTGATCCAGTCATCTATTTTTGGGCATCTGGGCTGTTTACAAAGCTTATTGTAAATTGTGCTGCTATAAACATAGGGGTGCAGGTGCTCTTTCGAATTGATGTTTCTGTGTCCTTTGCATTTACCCAATATTTTAATCCTCTGCAGCAGTCCTTGGTGCATGACCCCACCCTGTAGCACTTCCAGGTCTCCCCATGCACTTCCTGCAGTAACCGTCTGCTTTTTCTGGGCTGTGTCAGTGCCCCCTGCAGTGACAGTGTCCCGGTCTTCACCTTCCTTGGACTTGGTGATTGTTGCCTGTCATGTGAGGAACTTCTACCCTGAGAGCGTGCAGCTCACCTGGCTGGAGAACTGCCATGTGTTCAAGGATGCTAAGCTACCCAAGCCCGCGCAGAATACTGACGGCACCTACACCCTGGAGAGCTCGCGGCTAGTGAATGTCTCGGGGTGGGGGTCTGAGCTGGTGGTCACCTGTAAGGTAGAGCATGAGGCCCAGCCCCCTGTCGCTGCTAACCTCATACTGGTCCCAGCAGTCAACGCAGACAACGAGCCCAGCGAGAGCCCAGGTAAGCTCACCTGACCCTTGTAAGCAGTTGGGTGAGGGGGTTCCAGAGGCATTGGGAGGAGGAGGCTTGGTGATCCTTGAAGTCTTGCCCAAAGGAAGAGTCTGTGATTCTTTGAGTAACTGGAAAGGTTTCTGGCCAGTGGCTTCCATTAGATGGCCACATCTAATGATGGCCATCCTGAAAGGATCTATGAATGCTGAGGAAAGGGCAGTCTCCCAGATCAACCTCCTAGAAAGAGATCAACCTCCTTCCCAAGAAAGAGTTCAGCTCAGGAAGCTCATTGTTGGTGTTTCAAAGATGGTTATCAGCAATGCTCTCTTGTTCAAATAGTCTGCTGGGTTACATGGAGAGATTGTCCACTGCCATATAGAAAAACAAAATTGAGTCTGTAAAACTTACTTCAACGACCTTTCCCCAGGGCCCCCTGACATCTGCTCCAATGGAAGAGCAGGCTCTTCCCTGACTCCCGCACTGGTGCCTCCCCTCTCTGCACTTCCGTTTGCACATCTGTAGATGAGCCTACTGTAGTGTGGGCGGGTCTAATAAAGGCTCCTAACTCACAGAGTCCTTGTGAGGATCAAGAGAATAAATATATGTCAATGCTACATTTGGTCTCCGATAAATGTCAACTATAGTTATTACTGAGTTCAGATAAAATAACTTTAAGTTTACAGCAATTGTATCTGTGTAATTTCAGCAATCATGTCGATTATTCTCTCAGAACCTCAGTTTGTTCTTCGAGAAAATGGTGCGCATAATGCCAGTCTCCTAAGATTGCTTTAGATGAGATCGGGCAGGTTCAAGTGCTGTGGTCTTGGACCTAAGATTGCTTTAAAGGTGAATGTGATCAGTGTCCTTGGGGACAGGGGCTGGTTGTCCAGGCTGTACCCCTCAAGCCAGGCACATTGGCTGTTGCTGTATGGGAGATGTTCAACTCAATATTTGTAAAGTCAAATTCCAGGTGAGGCTCTAGGTCAAGGTCATCTCTTATTTCCAAGAGAGAACTAAGTGTAAAGAATAAAACAAAACAAAATATGAATTTGGAATAGGGTAGAATTGATGCAACTTACTGACCTCAGAGAAGGTTTCTAAACTCGGAGAGCCCTAGCTGATGGCTCTTCTGCACATTGATATTAAGGTCCAGAGATGCCTGCCCTTATCTTTGTGACATTGCTCCTGGGCTTCAAGGTGCTGATGGTGATGAGTTTCACAGTCACTTACATCCACAGACGGTGGGGCCTATAACAGGTAAGTTGGGGGCAGGTCTTAGTCCTTAGGGAGGGAGGTCAGGATCCCCATCAAGGTGAGGATAAGCCCGTAAGATAGCATGGTGCCCACAAAGGCAATACAACCTCAAGAGAAGGTTCTAGAACATTTCCTCAGATGTTACCAACTCTCACACATTGTATAATGACCTGAAATTTGAAGAATTTAAGTTAAGTTCCTTGGGACCCTGGAGGCAAGGGTGCCTCCGGGTGTCTCCAGGTGTAGAGGTAGGATGAATCAAAACTTTGAGACCCAAACTCCAAAGAACACCCCCCAGAAAACAGTTACATCTTTCAGTTTTCATGATATACCTTTGAAGTAAATAAGGAAAGCATTGCTAAAATCCACTAATAGAGTCTGTCTGAGAGATCAGAGTCACTGCCTGGCGTCAAAGAGGAATGTGGGTATATAGCAGTGTTCAGAACCCAGAATGAGGTGTTGGGGTGTAGTGGGTAGGGCCTTCATTTCTTATCTGCACCATGAAACCAGGCTAAGCAGAGTGTCAGCCACATAGTAGGTGCTCAATAAATATCTCTGGAATTAATATGAGGAAGAAGGGAAGGAAAAAAAAATCTGCTTCCCACAGCTCCTGCACACCCTGTGATGTATTGCCTCGTGTGTGCCCCAAAGGACTCCGAATGGGAAGAGAAGCTGCAAGGACCTGAGATTACCCGAGACCCCCGCCCTTCACTCTGCTGTCCCCACCGGACCACAGACACGCGCCCTTCCTCACACCTGCGATGCTGTCCCTACTCTAGTATTTAGAGCTGAGTCAAAGATGAACTTTGATCATGGACTCAGACCGTCTGGATCCCGAGGCGCTGGGATCGGCCTCCACCCAAGACAATCAGGCAAATCAAAAAACAGGTTTCCACCCTTCCCCTGCTCATGAACAACCACCATTTTCAGAGCGTAGTTTCCATTGATCCAGAGCTATTACAAGTACGCTATCATTTTAATACATATGTCCTGAGTTCACAAGTTGAATAAGCATTTGTCTATTCTGAAATATGTAAGGATTTCGCTAAAATTATTCCTAGAGTTACTGGTCTGTCTTTGCAAAATACTGACATTGTGTTCTTTTGATCCATTGAAGAAACACTGCCTGAATTTGGTGTGTAGCATCCTCAAATATGATTCTGTGCTTTTACAACATATGAACACATACTTAAGCAATATTTAATATTACTTTGCATATTCTATTTTTTTTTTTTATAAATGAAGTTAACCTGTTTACAGTACTCTGGAACTTCACCTTACAATTTAGCTTAATGCAGCTTGCGGGATATTCATGTTGATATATGTAGCTCCATTTATTAATTTTTCCACTGCTCCATAGTCTTCTATTGAAGAATATGCCACTCATTATTATTTCCTCTCATACTGGATAGTGAAACTTCACCTGGTGCTTTGAAGTACAGCTTCCCAATAAGATTCTTTTCTTAGTGTCTTTGCCCCCATCTGGGACAGCATCCCTCGCCCTTCTAGCATGGCCTGCAAAGCTGCATGTTGTGTCATTTGGGGGGCCTTGTTGCACAAAAAAGTTTTCACTTTCTGATCAAGTGTTGCTTTTTTAATTTATGCTTTTGATCTAGCTATACTGCTCCACTGTGTGTGTGTGTGTGTATGTAAATGGTAGTCATGCTATATTTTTTTCTCCCACAAGGGTAAGTTACCCAGCACTCACTGATCTTTACTGCCCCTTCACTTTATATCAAGTTTCCATAAACAGGTATGGTTCTTTTTATGAGGGCTTTGCTCCATTGAACTATTTGTCTCATAGTCAAAGCTACATAGACAAGAAGAATGTCCCTGTATTAAGTTTTGAGGCCACTTTGAACAAAGTTTCCCACATTTTCTTATTTGAAATTCTTGTGACTCTTCAGGTCTAGGGGATCTTAGAATCATGTTGTAAAGTTTCATGAAAAACCTTTTAGAATTATTATTTGATTGCATTGAATTTACATATTAATTTAGTCAACTGACATCTTTCCAGTACTGAATTTGCACATTCATGACATACATCTATTTTAGTTTTGCTTTTATGACTTTCAATTCATAATTTTAGAGTTTTCCCATGATGGTTTTATGAGTCTCTAGTTAGAGCTTTCTTTAACAATTTCAAGTCTGTGGATATAAAAAAGTATTGTCATTGTTTTCAATGACTCTTGGCTATGGTATAGGATTGTAACTGTTCAGAGCATCGACCTTATATTCAGCAAGAGCACAGGACACCGACTAGTACTATTGGTATGTTTTCTTTGGGGGTAACTCTTGTAACATTAACCTAATGATCAAAAATATGTTTTTACCTACATCAAAGGCACATATGCACATGGTTTGAAAGTCAAGTAGTTCCTCAAGTTCTAACAGGAAAACTGGACTCACCTAACCTCCCACAATTTCCACCCCCCAGAAGCAACTCTTTTCAATGCTTTCAACTGAGTGTTTTAGATTTTACTGCCGTATCTCAGAGAGAATACACTTGCATTGCCATGTTTTGATTTCTCTCTCTTAGGAATTATTGTCTCCCCACTAGAGGTGATGGAGATACACTGTTCAGTTACCCCAACCTCATACCTCTCACGTGCACACTTTCTGTCCTCACCACCTTGGTGTTACCCTTTATATTTTCTTTCTTTCTTTCTTTCTTTTTTTTTTTTTGAGGACACATTTCACATTTTATTTACATTTTAAGACTAACTTTAAAATCTCAAAATCACATATCCATATACCTATTTCCTTTTTGTTGATTTCACTTAAACTTAAATGCATGGTTTGTCAAACAAAGACTGTAAACAAATATTTACCATGTCTGTTACATGTAACACACAGGAACTGCTTTTAACAGAAATTGATCGACCTCTCCCCCACGACATTTTTTTTTATTATAAATACAAGTATCAAAACAATCCTGAACATATTTTTGATACTACTAGTAGTCAGCACCCACATCGCTTCAAAAATTAATACAATTTGTGACAATATTCATTATATCTGCTACTTTAGACAATTTAAACTGTATCTCTTTTTCTAAGCAAGATGGACAAAGCATGCTATTTAGCTTTTCCTTCTTGAGATTTTCACTTTTCAGAAATACACATGCTTCCAAAGCCATCCAATACTTCTAGTCATGCTTTCATCTTATAAACCTGAATTCAATTTTGAGCACTCTAGGTTTATGCTTCAATGACAAAGCCTTAACAAGAGAAAAAAAATTGTGCTGCATTTTTCCTCTTGTTACCTGAAAACAAAATGGGTGTACATATATTAATTATATTCTTTAAAATGTCCAGGTCATGTTTATCAGCTGGGATTCTTTTACTTAATGTGTGGGTATTTTGTATTGTGATATTTAATCAAGACATTAACATGAGTAGAAGGTTGTTGATTTAAGACAAGTTTAAGATCCACTAAAATTAATTATTGTATGTTTGTCCTTCTGGTGGCTGTGGAAGCTTCATATTTTCTTTGGACATCATTAGACGTCTTAGCTCTTGAAGTACAACTTTAATGCTATATGAATTTTGCCATTTTGCTAAGACTGGTATGCTCCGTGCATCCACCATTCCACTGGAATTATTTATTCCATTCATATTAATTTTGGTTACAAATCTAACTGATGGAGGAGCTTCTGGGTATTTAGGTCCACATTCTACTTTCAGGCTATATATTCTGTTTTCATAATTTGTCCTTGGTGGCCCAATAATCATGCCTGTCCACCTTGTAAGTGTCATATCTTCATCATCTTCAAGGCCCCAGTCCTTTTTGTCCTTCTTCAAGTTCTTCCTACAAGCGAAAATTACGAGGAACTTTAACTCCTGTGGAGACCGCCATCTTCTCCGGCAGCCCGACGCAGCCCCACCCTTTATGTTTTCTATGGCCCTTTTCAGTATATTGCCTGAAGGCATTACACTAGACCCAGTTAAGAGCAGACTCCCCCAAATGATTACATTGTACTCTTTGTGAGGTTTTAAAACTTGTATGAAGAGACTGATGGGAAATTCTGTTCACTGCCAGGAAATCCTCACCTAAGCTTCAGGGAGCCACAAGTACTTGAAACCCATGAACCTTAGCCAGTCAGCCTTGGCCAGTCCAGTCTCTTCCCAGACAGCTCGTGCTGGTCATCTGTAGTGATGACATCTCCGTGTTCTGGATGCTCAGTTACAGACCACTGCAGGCAAATGTCTTCTTAAACGCCTTTCCCTGTTCCTCACTATTGCAGTCCTCAGCAGGCCCTTGGACTGCGAGCAGCTCTTGGTGGAGGGACACAGACTGGCTACCAGCCCAGGCTCAGGCCTTTTACTGCTGTGAGTCCCAGCAGTAAAGCCAGCAGCAGTCAGGGGGACTGGTGGGTCCAAGAGGCAGGGGCAGGCATCCTGGAACTGGAGGAGCCTGCTCTGTCCAGGTGTGTGCTGGGAGCCCAGACTGCTCTGTGGAGAGGAACCCGGCCTGCGATGCAAGAGGAAGCTCGCATCACTGGGGAAATGCTGAGGTGTTGCCACACTTCCACTGTCATGTTGAGATAAGAGGGCTAGGGCCTGGGCACGAACTTGTGGGACACAGCTTGTATCCCTGTGGGTTTCCTTTTGCCTGGGACTCCTGATGGAGAATCATAGAGACCCCAAGAGGGGGTAACAAGCATGTGGAGAGTGCATAGGCCCTGAGGCAAGAGGCACTATTTCTATGAGGCTGCACAAGTCTATGAAAACATGTGAGAAACCCTTGACCTTGAAGCTTCCCCCCGACCCAGCTTCACAGTGGAAGTGTGGCAACACCTCATCATTTCGCCACTGATGTGAGCTTCCTCTTGTATCACACGTGGGGCTCCTCTCCACAGAGCAGAGTCTGGGCTCCCAGCACACACTCGGACAGAGCAGGCTCCTCCAGTTCCAGGATGCCTGCCCCTGCCTCATGGACCCACCAGTCTCCTTGCCTGCTGCTGGCTTTACTGCTGGGACTCACAGGTGAGCATGGCCGTGGGAAGAACCCCTCTCCCTGCCCTGGATGCCCGTTTAGCAGTGGAGTTTTAGGGCCTTCAGGTAAACAAAAGTAGCCCTCCCCCCCCCACCGCCCAACGGGCTACCACTGAGAGCCAAGGAGTAGATATTACTTGAGAGAACAGAATCAGGGATCTGAACAACTTTTTTCTTCATCTGTCACCTGTAACTGTTTTCAGAGACATCAAAAAAAGGCTGATGGTTTGACGAGTATATTGACTTGGCTGATCCTCTCAACTGTTTATAATGATGATTGTTGCCCCTGCGTTGCAGAAGGGGAAACTGAGGCAGAGAGCATAACTTGCCCAGTGCCATCTACCCAAGTCTGTGGAGAAGCCAGAATTGAAGCCTAGGGCCAAGAACTCCAGCATTCATTCTTTTTACCACGTTATGCTGTTGGCTACTCAGTGGAGGCTCTTGGAGAAAAGTTAGACATACGGAGTAAAAAACATAAGTTAGAGATTGGACAGACATCTAGGACAGACAAACAGGAGGTAAGACAGGGTTGAAATTCTGCTGTGTGTCCTGGCAAACTTTTGTTAATGATGAGTTCGATGGTTACTATGTACCAATATTTTTAATGAGCATTTAACATACACAAGCCTCAAAACCTACTCCTTGTATACTAGCAAGCCAGGACAGCTCTTCACATGTATTTGCAAATGTATGTATTTTGTGGTGTGTATATGTATGAAAGGCTGTGAGTTGTGTGCAGACACACAAACACTCCTGGGATTTTTGAAAAGGTTTTTTCCATTGTTTTCTTCCAGTCATTTCTCAGTCTGCATGAAGTGCGCATTGACAAAAGTTTAGTGTTCAGAGTCTCTCTACTCTCTTACTTCCTCTTTACTTCGCTAAAATTCCACCTTATCCTTCCCAAAACTATTAGACAAAAAATTCTTCTCCCTGGTTAAGATGAGTAGATTGTGTGCATTATTTTCTTGGAGTCTAACTCTCATGTGAGACACACACACCCATCACTTCACCACCAACCAATGGACTCAAGACTCTCGAGTCCATGAATGTAAAGGACTGAAATGCAACATCTCCTGAGACCACAAAGTGTCCAGCCAGTATTTGGTGTAGCATGACCCTTCCAGAGATGGCTCAGGCACTAACCCTGCCACCTCACCCTCCCTGTGCCTCAGTTTCCTCATTTGGAACAGCCTTACATTGCAGGTTCGTTGGGGGGGGGTTCCAGGTGTTGACACTCCCATGTGCTGAGCCCAGGAGCCCCCAAGGTAAGCACTTGATCAGCAGGTCCTTGTGATAGTGCTTGAGAAAGCCCGCAGGGTCACACAGGATGAACAAGGAACTGCTTTGCTTTCCAGCAGGAGCAGCCGGCGAGGAGGAGCTGCAGGTGATCCAGCCTGACAAGTCCATGTCAGTGGAAGCCGGAGAGACGGCCACTCTGCGCTGCACCCTGACCTCCCTGCTCCCTGTGGGGCCTGTTAAGTGGTTCAGGGGGTCAGGGCCAGGCAGGCAGTTAGTCTACAGTCTGCAAGGAAGAGAAGGCCCCTTCCCCCGAGTAACCAGTGTCTCAGATGTCACAATCAGAGACAACAAGGACTTTTCCATCCGCATCAGTAACATCACCCCAGCAGACACTGGGGCCTACTACTGTGTGAAGTTCCAGAAAGGGAGCCCTGACACAGAAGTGAAGTCGGGACCAGGCACGCAGGTCACCGTGAGTGGTGAGTACCGTGGGAGCCCCCGCCTGCGTGTGGCAGCAGGTCACTGTCACGCCCTCCTTTCTGTGAGCAACAGCTAAGAGTCAGGAGTGGTGGTGGGTGCTGATCTACATGGCCTGATTCACCCCCTTCTACAGACTGGGAGGTCGAGGCTGCATGGGTCATGCCAGTTGCTCAATGTCATGTGGCTGGGAAATAGGGGGTGAGATCTGGACCCCTAGACGACCCGTCTCCATATTTCAGGTGTCTGAAGAAAAGTTGCATTTTTTTTCCCCTTGCAAAAGTGCTTCCTGTGCTCCTCTGTCCATGTGAACAGGTTTTTGGGGTGTGCAGCTTCTGAACAACATGTGCTCCTGGAGGCCCTGGTCGCCCCACAGAGCTCACCACCCTCTGGGCCTGAAGAAGACACCCAGACACCCAGTTTAGGCCCCAGCTTCATTGCTGGGAAAAACCTCCCACCTCTACATTTAAACGGGGGCTGAGGTGGCTGCCAATGGGGGCTGGCATTCCCAGGGACCTTCTGCCTGACCCCAATGTGTCGCTGAGAAAATCTGTCCTCCTTCCTTCAAGTGCTGCCCCTTTCAGAAAGAGAAACCTTTATGAAAACACCTCAGATCTCATTTACATGTTGGTGTCTCTCCCCCAAACAGCTTCCTAGCAGGCCTGTGCCAAGAGGCAGAGAATCCCCATCAGTGATTTCAGCTGCTTTTCTGAATTGGGTTCTTCAGAGCAGCTGCAGGACTTGCTGCTTTCCTGGGTGTTTCCCCTACACACTTCCCTCCACCCCGCCCCCAATATGGGTGGTGACCAGGACGGGGACAGCAGCCACAGGAGCGGGTTGTCAGCACCTGCTGTGAACACGCCTGTGCTGGGCACACACCCTTACTCCTCTGCCCGGGTGGGGCTTTGATCACTTTGCACAGAAACGCACAAGAGGCTCAAGGATGCAGAACAGAGACTCGAAGTGGCCACTCACATCATCGGTCCACCAGCCATGTCAGCCACCCCTGCTGGTTTCCCAATCTCCGCTAAATCTCTCGTCCCTCCTGGCCTCTATACCCCCATGATCCTCAGGATCATCACTTCACATATCATGATCGTCATGATCATCACCTCACATACATTTGCAAATGCATGCTATGGTGTAGGTGCATGTATATACACGTGTGAGAAGTGTGCAAACACACACACAATCGTGGGATAGTGAAAACATTTTTTTCCATTATTCTCTCCAATTATTTCTCAGTCTGCATGAAGTGCACATTCACCAAAGTTTAGTGTTCAGAAGTTAGTGGTCTCCACTCTCTTCCTTCCTCTTCTGCTTCTCTAAAATTTCCCCTTCCCTTTCTTAAACTATTGGACAAAAAATTCTTCTCCCTTGGTAAGAGAGTAAAGTGTGTGCACAATTTTCTTGCAGTCCCGCTCTCGTGCTGCAAGGGGGTGAGGAGGAAAGAAGGGGATGAAAATACAGAGGTGAGGCTGCTCCTCTCATTGATAGCTCTGCCACCTTAGCCTCTGCCTGTTCAGGATACCCTGAAAAAGAAGGAATGTTCTGGCATTTCTCTGAGTCTCCATCTGTCCTTGCGCCCACATCTGGGTTTGCACCTCTCCCCATGCGCTGTCATCCAGCGTCCGTTCAGGCCTCAGGAAATCTGGGAGTGGAATTCTGTGCATTCCTCCTTGGAGGCCTCCCCCAGGCTGGATGGGCTGAGGAGACAAGAAGGGGGAGGTGCAGGTTCCTGAAGGATACAGAGCAATGATCCCCGTGTGTGATTCTAGCTGCACTCCTATCTCTGTCATCTATGTCCCCAGAAGCCTCTCAGCCTCAGGAAATCCAATTTGTGTTCGATTTCTTGAACCTTCACCATGTACCAGACACAGCAGGAAAGGCCTGGAGGTGTCAATCCTGTGACTCTTATCTCTGAGGGGCTAAATATCCCCCCTCCTTACAGATGGAATAACAGAAGCACAGAGAGTTTCAAGGTCACTCACCCTAACTGGTAGAGCTGCGATCTGAACTCACACGGTCTGACTGTAGAGTTCGCGGTTTAACCACCACCCTTCTAGGTTCTTTGTGACCTGTCTCCACCCCAGGAGATTTCTGCAGCCTCTGTGCGCAGGTGGGGGAAGGGAGAGTGAGGAAAAGAGCCAAGGGTGTGTACCTGAGCCTCTGGAAGAATTAGGGGCCTCAGGAGATGTAGAGACATAGACAGAGACACAATGTGAGCTGTGCTTTTCCATCCAAGCACCATGTCCAGGGGGCTTTGGCCACACAAGTCCAGCTTTCAGGGAAAAGGTGTGGGCAGTGATGTAAATGCAGGAAACAGAGACAGGGAAGTCACTTCCCCATCACGTGTCTCCCGCTGACTGTCTGACTTCCTTTCCCTCCCCCATGTCTCCCTCCAGGTTCTCATTTCTACCATTTTTGTCTAACCCACATCCGCAAAATCCTTCAACCGTCTGCTCCTCTGATTGATAGCTCTGCCACCTTAGCCTCTGCCTGTTTAGGATACCCTGAAAAAGAAGGAATGTTCTGGCATTTCTCTGGTGTCTCCAGAAACCAGCTGGTGCAGCTGCAGTGAAAGTGAACTGCAAGTCCTGCACCTGCAGGTAGATGACCATGAGCCACTCCTGACCCTGCAGCTCACGACCCAGGGTCACCACACGGCTACCCACCACAGTTCTTTTCTTTTGTTAACTGTGAGCTGTGCTTTTCCATCCAAGCACCATGTCCAGGGTGCTTTGGCCGTACAAGTCCAAACACAGGCTGAAGTCGGCTCCCTCCTTGCTGTCTTGCCCACTGGTTCCATCTCCACCTTCTAGAGCAAGTCCCCAGACGTGAGCCCCTTAGTCCAGTTTAAAGGCATGAACCACGTTGTCACCCTGTCTGACCACCATTTTTTTTGTGGCAAAACACACATCACATAAAATGCACCATTGAACCATTTTTTAGGTTATAATTCAGCGGCATCAAGTACATTCAAACATTTCAAACTGTCACCAGGATGCATGTCAGAATCTTTGCAACATTCTGGGAGAAAACTCTGTATGCATTAAACAATAAATTCCCTATTATCTTCCCTAGCAACCCAAGGTAAACCCTGATAACTACTTGTCTCTATGAGTTTGCCTATTCTACTTACTTCCTATAATTAGAACTGTGTATCTGTCCTTTTCTTTCTGGCTCCTTCATTTGGCAACATATTGTCAAGGTTTATCTATGTAAAAGGACATAAATGATATCATCCCTCTTTAGGGCTGAGTAATATTCCATTATTTATGGCACATTCTGTTTATGCCTTCATCTGTTAATGGAAATTCATTATTATAAGCCATTGACTCTTAGAAAACATTTATAGTATAATAGACACAAATATACCATGATCGTGGAATTGGAAAAAAGTCCAGGCTTGAGACTATGTTTTCCTTTTATTAAATACCTCGTTCACTGCTTATAGGGAGCTCAGCACCTCATGGTCATGCACGCACACAGGGATCACCCGTGTCATGAGCACATGATCTATGGAAGAGGTTGCTGGACCCACAGAGGTTCCGCTGTTCAATCCATCCTACAACACACCCACCACTTCCGCCCCCAACCAATGGTCTCAAGACTCTCGTGTCCATGAATGTAAAGGACTGAAATGCAACATCTCCTGAGACCACAAAGTGTCCAGCCAGTATTTGGTGTAGCATGACCCTTCCCGAGATGGCTCAGGCACTAACCCTGCCGCCTCACCCTCCCTGTGCCTCAGTGTCCTCATTAGGAACAGCCTCACATTACAGGTTCATTGTGGGGGTTCCATGTGTTGACACCTCCATGTGCTGAGCCCAGGGGCCCCGAGGTGAGCACTTGTCCACGGGTCCTGGTTATAAACCTTGACAAAGCCCACAGGGTCACACAGAATGAACAAGGAACTGCTTTGCTTTCCAGCAGGAGCAGCCGGCGAGGAGGAGCTGCAGGTGATCCAGCCTGACAAGTCCGTGTTGGTGGCAGCCGGAGAGACGGTCACTCTGCGCTGCTCCCTGACCTCCCTGCTCCCTGTGGGGACAGTCAGGTGGTTCAGGGGGTCGGGACCAGGCCGGCAGTTAGTCTACAGTTTCAGAGGAGGAGCAAAAGACGAAGGCCCCTTCCCCCGAGTAACCAGTGTCTCAGATGTCACAATCAGAGACAACAAGGACTTTTCCATTCGCATCAGTAACATCACCCCAGCAGACACTGGGGCCTACTACTGTGTGAAGTTCCAGAAAGGGAGCCCTGACACAGAGCTTAAGTCGGGACCAGGCACGCAGGTCACCGTGAGTGGTGAGTACCGTGGGGGCCCCCCGCCCGCATGTGGCAGCAGGTCACTGTCTCACCCTCCTTTCTGTGAGCAACAGCTAAGAGTCAGGTGTGGATGTGGGTGCTGGTCTACATGGCTTGATTCACCCCCTTCTACAGATCAGGGAGGTTGAGGCTGCATGGATCATGCCAGTTGTTTAAGATCATGTGGCTGGGTCATATGGGGTGAGGTTGGAACCCCAGACTCCATGGCTGCACATTTCAGGTGTCTGAAGTACACCTGACAAAAGTGCTTCCTTGTGCTCCTCTGTCCATGTGAACAACTTTTTTGGGGTGTGCTGCTTCTGAACAACATGTGCTCATGGAGGCCCTGTTGCCCCACAGAACTGACCTCCCTCTGGTCCTGAGGAAGACACCCAGACACCCTGTTCAAGCACCAGCTTCATTGCTGGGAAAACCTCCCACCTCTACATTAAACGGGAGCTGGGGTGGGTGTCAATAGGGGTTGACATCCCCAGGGACCTTCCCCCTGACCCCAAAATGTCGCTGAGAAAATCTGTCCTCCTTCCTTCAAAGTGCTGCAGCTTTCAGAGAGAGAAACCCTCCTGAAAACACCTCGAATCTCATTTATGTGTTGATTTTGGTTCCTCACTGAGATTCTTCAGAGCAGCTGCAGGACTTGCCACTATCTTTTGTGTGTCCCCTACACTCTTCCTCCACCCCAACCCCAGACAGTCTCAGGTGGGTGGTGACCAGGACTGGGACAGCAGCCACAGGAGCTGGTTGTCAGCACCTGCTGTGAACCCGCCCATGCTGGGCACATCCTCACTCCTCTGCCCGGGTGGGGCTTTGATCACTTTGCACAGAAACACACACAGAGGCTCAAGGATGCAGAGCAGAGACCAAGTGGTCACTCACATGACCTGTCCAGCAGCCATGTCAGCCACCCCTGCTGCTTTCCCAATCTCCACTAAATCTCTCGTCCCTCCCGGTCTCTACACCCCCATGATCATCATGACCATCACTTCACATGTATTTGGAAATGCATGCTGTGGCGTATGTGCATGTATGTACAGGTGTGAGAAGTGTGCAGACACACACAATTAATGGATATTTGAAAAGTTTTTTTTCCCATTGTTTTCTCCAAACATTTCTCAGTCTGCATGAAGTGCACATTCACCAAAGTTTAGTGTTCAGAGTCTGTCCACTCTCTTCCTTCCTCTTCTTCTCTAAAATTTCCCCTTCCCTTCCCTAAACTGTTAGGCAAAAATTCTTCTCCCTTGGTAAGAGAGTAAAGTGTGTGCATGATTTTCTTGGAGTCCTGCCCTCGTGCTGCAAGGGGGTGAGGAGGAAAGAAGGGGATGGAAACACAGAGCCTCACCTAGACCGTCTCCATCTGTCCTTGCGCCCACATCTGGGTTTGCACCTCTCCCCATGCGCTGTCATCCAGCGTCCGTTCAGGCCTCAGGAAATCTGGGAGTGGAATTCTGTGCGTTCCTCCTTGGAGGCCTCCTCCAGGCTGGATGGGCTGAGGAGACAAGAAGGGGGAGGTGCAGGTTCCTGAAGGATACAGAGCAATGATCCCCGTGTGTGATTCTAGCTGCACTCCTATCTCTGTCATCTATGTCCCCAGAAGCCTCTCAGCCTCAGGAAATCCGATGAGTAAAATCATTTCAATTTCTTGAACCCTCACCATGTACCAGACACAGCGGGAAAGGCCTGGAGGTGTCATCTCCTGTGACCATTATCTCTGAGGCAGCGAACTTATCCCTCTCCTTACAGATGGAATAACAGAAGCACAGAATGGGTCAGATCACTTACCCTAACTAGTAGAGCTGCGATTTGTTCTCACACAGTCTGACTAGAGTTCCCGGGTTAACCACCACCCTTCTCGGTTCTGTGTGACCCGTCTCCTCCCAGGAGCTTTCTGCAGCCTCTGTGCGCAGGTGGGGGAAGGGAGAGTGAGGGAAAGAGGGTTTGTGACTTTCTTCTCTGGGTTCTTCCTCTTCCTGGAAGCTGTTTGCGTATTAGACCAAGTCATCTCCAGGGGAAACTCCCGGGATTACTCCTCAAAATAGACACTGGGGTCTCCGGGAGGTGCAAAAGTCTCCTCTGTGTCAGGCGCTGTTACGGGCAGGAGAGGTGAGTTGCAAAAGGAAAGAGACAAGGTCGCTGCCCTCTTGGGGTTATGTCTCAGTGGGAGAAATGACAGCAGACAATAGACACGCTAGGTAAGTCCAAGACACGGTGTGTTAGGGTCTGACCTGTGTGAAGGGCACAGAATGAAAGTATCCCAGGTAGGAGAACTGCCAGTATCTGGAGCAGGATGGATTTTTTTAAAGGACAGTGTGGGTGGCATCTCTGAGAGAGAAACTTGAGCAAAGGTTAAAAGGAGGTGTGGGATGAGCCTGTGGATTTTGGGGGAAGAGCCCTCCTGACAGGGAGCAGCACGGGCAGAGGCCCTGCGTGGAGGCTTTTCTGTTCTGTTCAAGGATGTGGGCTCCCGTGAGTGGTGCCACTGCAAAGTCAGAGAGAGACGTGATGATCTGACATTAGCTTTAGTCATTCTAGCACTGGACAGAAAATCAACTAGAACATTTAAGAGGTTACTACATGGAGAAAAAAATAACACCGGAGCACAAAGCTGCTGCTGTAGAGACCAGCGATGTCAGACCTTACACACATGATGGAGCAGCAACAGATTCTCTGACCCCCAGTATTTGGAAGGGAGAGAAAGAGCCAAGTTGCGGACCGAGCCTCTGGAAGAATTAGGGGCCTTAGGAGACGCAGAGACATAGACAGAGACACAATGTGAGCTGTGCTTTTCCATCCAAGCACCATGTCCGGTGCTTTTGCCATACAATTCCAAACAGGCTGAAGTCGGTTCCCTCCTTGCTGTCTTGCCCGTAAGTTCCATTTCCACCTTGTAGAGCAAGTCCCCAGTCTTGAGGCCCTTAGTCCAGTTCAAAGGCATGAACCAGGTTGTCACCTTGTCTGACCACCATTTTTTTATTGTGGCAAAACACACATCACATAAAATGCACCATTGAACCATTTTTTAGGTTATAATTCAGCGGCATCAAGTACATTCAAACATTTCAAACTGTCACCAGGATGCATGTCAGAATCTTTGCAACATTCTGGGAGAAAACTCTGTATGCATTAAACAATAAATTCCCTATTATCTTCCCTAGCAACCCAAGGTAAACCCTGATAACTACTTGTCTCTATGAATTTGCCTATTCTACTTACTTCCTATAATTAGAACTGTGTATCTGTCCTTTTCTTTCTGGCTCCTTCATTTGGCAACATATTGTCAAGGTTTATCTATGTAAAAGGACATAAATGATATCATCCCTCTTTAGGGCTGAGTAATATTCCATTATTTATGGCACATTCTGTTTATGCCTTCATCTGTTAATGGAAATTCATTATTATAAGCCATTGACTCTTAGAAAACATTTATAGTATAATAGACACAAATATACCATGATCGTGGAATTGGAAAAAAGTCCAGGCTTGAGACTATGTTTTCCTTTTATTAAATACCTCGTTCACTGCTTATAGGGAGCTCAGCACCTCATGCTCATGCAAGCACACAGGGATCACCCCTGTCATGAGCACATGATCTATGGAAGAGGTTGCTGGACCCACAGAGGTTCTCGCTGTTCAATCCATCCTACAACACAACCACCACTTCCGTCACCAACCAATGGTCTCAAGACTCTCGTGTCCATGAATGTAAAGGACTGAAATGCAACATCTCCTGAGACCACAAAGTGTCCAGCCAGTATTTGGTGTAGCATGACCCTTCCAGAGATGGCTCAGGTACCAAACCTGCCGCCTCACCCTCCCTGTGCCTCAGTGTCCTCATTAGGAATAACCTCACATTACAGGTTCGTTGTGGGGGTTCCATGTGTTGACACCCCCATGTGCTGAGCCCAGGGACCCCCAAGGTGAGAACTTGTCAGCGGGTCCTTGTGATAGTGCTTGAGAAAGCCTGCAGGGTCACTCAGGATGAACAAAGAACTACTTTGCTTTCCTGTAGGAGCTGCCAGCGAGGAGGAGCTGCAGGTGATGCAGCCTGACAAGTCCGTGTCGGTGGCAGCCGGAGAGACGGCCACTCTGCGCTGCACCCTCACCTCCCTGCTCCCTGTGGGGCCTGTTAAGTGGTTCAGGGGGTCGGGTCCAGGCCGGCAGTTAGTCTACAGTTTCAGAGGAGGAGCAGAAGAAGGCCCCTTCCCCCGGGTAACCCATGTGTCAGATGTCACAATCAGAGAAAACAAGGACTTTTCCATCCGCATCAGTAACATCACCCCAGCAGACACTGGGGCCTACTACTGTGTGAAGTTCCAGAAAGGGAGCCCTGACACAGAAGTGAAGTCGGGACCAGGCACGCAGATCACCGTGAGTGGTGAGTACTGTGGGGGCCCCCCGCCCGCGTGTGGCAGCAGGTCACTGTCACGCCCTCCTTTCTGTGAGCAACAGCTAAGAGTCAGGTGTGGTGGTGGGTGCTGGTCTACATGGCTTGATTCACCCCTTCTACAGACCAGGGATGTCGAGGCAGCACAGGCCAGTTGCTCAAGGTCATGTGGCTGGGAAATAGGGGGTGAGCTCTGGAACCCACACTACCTGGCTCCACATTTCAGGTGTCAGAAGAAAAGTTGCATTTTTCTCCCCCTGACAAAAGTGCTTCCTTGTGCTCCTCTGTCCATGTGAACAAGTTTTTGGGGTGTGCTGCTTCTGAGCAACATGTGCTCATGGAGGCCCTATTGCCCCACAGAGCTTACCTCACTGGGGTTGGATTCCTACCCTCTAGCCCCAAGGAAGATGCCCAGACACCCCGTTTATGTCCCAGCTTCATTTCTGGGAAAACCTCCCACCTCTAAACATTTAAACAGGAGCTGAGGTGGCTGCCAACAGGGGCTGACTCCCATCTGCCTGACTCCCAAGATATCCCTGAAAGTCTGTCTTCCCTCCGTTCAAAGTGCTAAAGCTTTCTGGAAAGAGAAATCTTCATGAAA